AAAAACATTTAAAAAATTAAAAGAAAATGGATAGCAAAGAAGGTTTAGAGTGTCTGGCACAAATTAATCATTTATAATCAATAAATTTTTGTTGAATGGCCAAAGTGGAGGATGGCTGGAGGAGGGAAGGAGAGGGTTCTGAAAAAGCAGATAGAAGAAAAGCTGTTGCAGTGATCCGGGTCAGGGTGACAGTGAGGGCTGGCACAGAGTCAAGCGGGGGTGTAGAGAAATTGGTAGATTCCAGAGATGGTGGGGGGCTAAAGTGGACACACTGAGGATTCATGAATCCCTGTGGGCAAGAAACACTAGAAGTAAGGTCACGTTATTGGTGCAGGTCTCCTAAAATGGGTGAACATCACAGTGGAGGGGAGAGCTGATGTCACTCAGTTAATCCCCAGTCCCTCCAGAGGGAGTTTAGTGGGCCAGACCAGAGACCCAAGCTTACAAATCTCAGCCACTGGGCTCATGGTGCTGGTTTGGGATTGAATTGCTTGGAAAATGATTCCAATTCTCCACTTTTCTTTGTTTACACTGTGCAGCCTTTGTGATACGCTTCTAGTTAATTTTGCTCATTAAAATGCAGCTCTTGCTCATGTGTAAAATCTGCTTTCCAAGTATCGGAGATCACCCGGTAAAGCTAAGTTGGTTGCTTTTAGGGCCTCCATCAGTCGCACTCGACCTTTGCCTGCCCTTTTCTTTGAATGCCTTGCATGTTCTGAGCCGGCAAACAAACTCACTTCCCACCTCTTGTGCTCAGCCGGTCAGTGGTCATTGCCAAACCTCTGTCTCTGCCCTCACCCCTTTCATCAAATCCTATTGCCCTTCTGCTTTGAAACATGGGAGGGAATGTCACCTCCTTCATAACAATCCAGGGTATTTCTGGCACCCTCTAAGTCCCCACAGTCACCCCCATCTTGGTAGCCAGGTGCTGCATGGAACTCAGACCACTCTCACGGGATGTTTCCTTGTCTGTCCTATCATTGTTGGGTTTTTTTTTTCACCTAATTCATTCTGTGTCTTCCTGAATAACTGTAAATGCTACCAGAGCAGATCAAATATATTAGTTTCCTTCTGATATTTCCCAGTAGTGTTTTGTGCGTAGCTGACACGAAGAAAATTACAACTTTTCCTGGTGTTCATCATGGAACACTGGAACGTATTTTCGCTGGGAGTCTCTCAGGCTTACTGTCCATATGTCCATTCTACTAACATTTACAAGTGGCTGTGCAAATGCTCTTGCTGAGAGGTCATGCCAACCCTCCAAACCTCCTTGTCTTTACAACAGAGGGTTATCACACTTCACATGTAATCACTTAATGTGAGCAGAATTCGATGTGGCATCCTGGCTTTTAGCATGAATTTTACTGCCATAGAGAAGTATCTTCCCAGACTTTGGGAATCACACACTAATAAAATTTCAGTAACAAAAGTAAGGATGCCAACAAACTTAGGCCACTTCTTATTTTATCAAGGAAAGCCTTCATTTTTAAAGTATCGTCCTTGGGGCGCCTGGGTGGCGCAGTCGGTTAAGCGTCCGACTTCAGCCAGGTCACGATCTCGCGGTCCATGAGTTTGAGCCCCGCGTCGGGCTCTGGGCTGATAGCTCAGAGCCTGGAGCCTGTTTCCGATTCTGTGTCTCCCTCTCTCTCTCTGCCCCTCCCCCGTTCATGCTCTGTCTCTCTCTGTCCCAAAAATAAATAAACGTTGAAAAAAAAATTTTTTTTAAAGTATCGTCCTTGGTCTCCATTAACTCATAAAAGGAAGACGATATTGTCCCAAAATGGAGGACAGTGAAAACCTCACTGAGCGCTGTGCTTGGGTGCAGTAGGCTTTGAGAGGTGCTGTCCAGGCTGCGGCACCCAAACCTGGCTGTCTACCGATCATGTCATGGGGAACATTGCCAACCACAGAGTCCCAGGTGCTCCCCAGGTGTGTTACGTCAGAACCTCTAGAAGCGTGGCTCTGGAATCTCTATTTTCATCAATTTCTCAAGTGATTCTGATACACAGCTGGGTTTGGGAACCACCTTGGATAGAATATGTAAGTTAAAGACCTGCAGGAAATAGGACGTTTCTCTAATGCTGATTCAGCACGGTTTTTATCTTTCTTGTCTCTCTATCCTTTTGAGGGTGTTCTAGCCAATGAGTACGTTTTCAAAAGCAAATAAGACAACTCTGATGGTTGATCTGGTGACAGTTGACTCTAAGCGGATCATGGATCCCAGCCCATGGGAACCACGCTTAGGGTTTGTTAGGCAAAGGTTGGTAGCGTGGATTTTGCTGAAGGTACAGGATTTGCTCTCTAACATTTCTGGTTATCGTGCTGTAGGCAGTTCTTGCTTGGTGACTTGTTTTATTCTTATGCTGTGGCCAATTGCAAGCTGAGATAGTGATCCCGGGAGGAGTATGAGATGTAAATGGGCTGTAAAATGGCTTTTTTCCTAGTGATTATCCGTGGGAGGCCTGGAACACAAGGTGGGCCCGGGTCTGTTTGGAGGCTTGTGCTGTGCGCTTGGACTGCCTGACGTGAATGGCCCACGGGAAGGAACCACATACTGATTGAAATGTTAGCAAACAGCTGGCACCCCCCCACCCTCTATGCAAAGGAGGCAAAAATATTTATTTTTTGCATTTACAGCTTTGCTTGACGATAGCGGGACGCCACCATAATTGACATTTTTTTTCCCCCTTTGCTCCAGATGTTTTAGCCGTCAACGTGACGTTCTCCTCCGGTTCTTGGCATTTATCAAAAAGATTCAACTTTACCAACTGCTCATCATTCAGAGAGTAAGATTTTATTTGAAATTTAAGTATTCTCTCATTGGTTTTAATTTATTTATATGCTTTACGCCTCCATTTCCTAAAGAACTCTTTTGCGGAGTAGAACTTTCTAAAGTGCCTTTTGGAGCATGGCCTGATGGGAGATAGAAGGGGGAGATCGGAGGGCCCCTGAGCTAATAAGCCAGCTCGTTCAAGCCCTAATAAGTAAGGTGGAGTAGCTAAGGAGCAAACAACTGTGCTTAAGTGTTGCTACCGACAGGGAAATGCGTTTTCCCCAGACGGACAGGCACTCTGAAGAAAATATAGCAGAAGGGGTGCTATGTTCCCCCCTGAGCCGAATGGCTTTGGGAATTTGAGTCGGGGAGAGGGTGTGAGCATGAGACCAGGGAAATCATCAAGGAGAAGGTCAAGATGAACTCTCTTTCATTGAAAGAACATGTTTGGGGCACCTGGGTGGCTCAGTCCATTGAGCATCTAACTTCGGTCGGGTCACGATCTCTGTCCCTTCCCCCCTCGCTCGCTCTCTCTCAAAAATAAATAAAACATTTAAAATTAAAAAGAACATGTTAGGTCTGTTCCCCCACTTTTTTGTGCCACCTTTTGCCCTGTTGGGCTGTGTACCTCCCCTGATTTAGGGCCACGCCTCACTCCTTGCTTCTCAAGCAGAGACAAGACAGGGAGGAAATGTGTTTCTCAGATGCATGATTTTCCAGTCGAAAGGTGGGATGGAGGTTCCCATGGAAACAACGGGAAGCTGTGTTATTAGTGATTCTATAGTTCGTTCAGTGGTTTGATTGACCAACTATGTGGGTATTGGATGTTTCTTTTGGCCTGGGAACCACTGTTGCCGTGGGGAAAATGAACTCAGACTCAAAACTGGGTTGGAGGGCCACTCTACAGCTATCCAAACAGGGGCCTCTGGACCTCATCTTTACCCTGGGGTACTCTGAAAGAGGGACTGAGTTCAGTTGTTTCTAACAAATAAACTGAATGAATGTAGCGGGGGGAGGTGGGGAGCGAGCAAACTTGATACAGAAAGCCTCAGAAGTCTGTGAAAATAGGAAAAGAGGGGGAGAGTTAACAAAAAAATGTATAGTTCAAAGAGAGTTGAAACGTAAAGCGGGTCCCCCATCCCCAGTGTAGAGGCCAGGCGGAAGGAAGTGACTTGCCCTGGGGCCCACAGTTAGGTAATTAAGAACCAGACCTCAGACCCACATCTCCCCAGAGGGTGAGTGTGCCCTTTCCTTGAGTACCTGGTCCCTTAGTACAACACTTAGTACATTACACTTAGTATACTCGCACCTAAGGGGCCGCGATGGGAATGCAAATCACAAGCCTGCTTCTAGCTCACTTAGGTGCCTGGATAAACACTCCAATGAGTCTGCAGTTTCTATAGGTCAGAAGCTCCGAATGCTTTGACATTTCTTGAAGAATCTGTGAAATATGAATGGTGTCTCCTCTCCCTACACTGGCCCTCTCACTGTCCCAGGCCAGGTCTCCCCTGGCCTCCCATGGCTGTGTTTCCAGACCAACCTCAGAGTCTGTTTTTATTGTTCCTTCAACTCTGATTTTCCTACAACATGCTTTTCAAGTCCTCTACTGTTATCCTCACATGATAGGTTATTTGATGAGTAGACACAGTTCTTCCTTAATTTGGTTAAAAAGCAAACACTGGCACCCCATTCCCTCTGCTTGCCAGGTGACACTTTTGGTCTCACACCTTCCGGGCAGTGGGGGTGTTAGTTACAGCTCTAGGGAGTGAGGGCAGGGCGGGGAAGGTGAGTCTCCAGAGGGGAAACTTACCTGAGGGCAGACAAATGGCAGAACTGGATTCAGAAACAGAGCCAGTGGGTTCCTGTTATCCACCAGCACAGCGGGTGACCCTGGCTTCAGGTTTCCATGGCAACACCCCCAAAGGTGTCATGACAGTCCATCAGCCCTGAGGGCTGCCCAGAGCAGGGCACAAAGTCAGTGCTCTATCCTCAAAGGACTGTCCTCCCTCCCCTGGGTTCATCCTACTCTGTCCAGGGATTTTTTCTTCTTCTTTCTTCTTTTAAATGCTTGCACCCTGCATCACGGAGGGAAATTCTAGGGCATGAACATTTTCCTAAAGATTTGGAATTAAGTTGGCTTTCCGTGTTGCCAGATGCCCAGCGTGTATTGGAACTGACTGTGCTTGGTGTAAAAGTGAGAGAAAGTGTATCCACCCCTTCACAGCTTGTGACCCATCTGATTACAAGACAAACCAGGTAAAGTGCCATTTTTGGTATTACAAGGTTGAACCAGAAATAAGTGTTTGTGACCACCCAGTCCCAGTCTGTCTTTTGTGTTTGTTTCAAACTCTAAATTTCCCATCTGTTTGGATGTTGAAGGGATATTCTTCATTTCAGGAACACTGTCAAGTTGCTGTTGAGAAACGGGCACCATCCAAGACTGCAGGAGGAGGAAGATTCACCGAGATTAGGAGTAGTAGAGCCAACCCGGGCTTGCAGGTCAGACCCTAGTTTTGTGCTGATCGTAGGGAAAAAAATCCCCTTTAGATGACAATAACAGCTCCTCACTGCTCTGGGTTCCTTTTAAAAATTCCCTGTTTGACTTTCTACAAAAATTCCCTTTTCTACTTTTGATTTTTAACCAAGTTTCCCTTAATTGGCTCAATACATCAAAGGCTGCACACTCACATAAAAGAAATTAAAATTCTATAATTATGAAAAATGATATTGTTCCAGGAGGAGTGAAATTTTAAAGGTGACTTTGTGGCTCACTCAGGAGGAGTTAGAAGGAAGCATATAACACATAGCACTGAGGGGACTTCGATTCGAACCACGTATTACAATTGTATTCCTGGAGGTTATGTGGGGTGAGGGGAGTCTATGTATACAAACTAACCTCATTCAGATTGCCCATCTTTACGTTATAGAGATGATCTAACCCAGAGTTAATAGTGCCAAAACAAAGAGTTGTTGCCATATGTGTGTGTGTATACATATATATGTATGTATCAACCGTATATATATATATCCATACATCCATATGTACATACATATATACACACACCCACATCTCCCCCCATTTCCCCCTGAATTTTTTTCATGGAAAGATATTTTCCATGAAATTTCCTTGGAAATTCCTCTTATTTTCATCATAGTAAATCACCAGGTTCCACCAACAGACATGTTTGGGAAAAAAAGGACATGACCATGTAAACGTTTCTGGGCAGAAAATAGTGGCCATGCTTAGAATGACTGGCTTCAGTGAGTTGACAGAAGTTAATTGAGCATGTGCTATGTGGTGACAAACAAGAAAGGGTAAGTTCTCGATCTTATTAATCGGGAGGTCTAGCAGGAGGAGACAAATTAAAAACAACATTTCTTTCTCTAAAAAAGGCTTGGTTTTCTATTTCATGACTAATCTATGGCTTCGATGTATCCATTTGCTGTTATTTAAGGTCAAGTGCCAATATAGATAAGTAGCACATTTTTCATTGCTACCGAAAAGTTGATGGTAACTTTAGGTGAGTAACTAACAGGCAGAGGGAACGTGAATCATGATGGATTATGAAGTTAATTAAAGGCATTAGAAAGGTTCGGTGTGCCAATATCTCCAGATTTGAAAAGTCTTTGAGGTTTTATTAAGGGATGGGCTTCTCTTCTCTTACCATTGGCTTATAAAACAAAGGCGTAGTGACAGGTATTTGGATCAAGGAAGCGGTGGCTTTTTTAAAAAATTAAATTTATCCTTTGTTGTCATTTTAGTTGGGTTTTTTTTTTTTTTCGATTTTAGTAAAGCACACCTAACACAGTTTACATCTTTGCCACCTTTTTTTTTTTTTGACGTTTATTTATTTTTGAGACAGAGAAAGAGCATGAACAGGGAGGAGCAGAGAGAGAGGGAGACACAGAATCTGAAGCAGGCTCCAGGCTCTGAGCTGTCAGCACAGAGCCCGACGCGGGGCTCGAACTCACGGACCGCGAGATCGTGACCTGAGCTGAAGTCGGACGCTTAACCGACCAAGCCACCCAGGCGCCCCCCATCTTTGTCACTTTTAAGCGTACAGCTCAGTAGTGTTAAATACCTTCACACAGTTGTGCGACCATCACCACCAACCATCCCCAGAACATATTTCATCTTGCAAAACTGAAACCTCATACCCATTAAAAAATAACTACCCGTTTTCTCTCCCCCCACCCCCAGCCCCTGGCAACCACCATTCTACTTCCTCTCTCTATGAATTTGATTACACTAGGGACTTCATGTAAGTAGAATCATACAGGATTTTTCTTTTGGTCATTGGCTTATTTCATTTAACATAATGTCCTCCAGGTTCATCCATATCAGCATGGGTCAGAATTTCCTTATTTTTAAGGCTGAAAAATATTCCACTGTGTGTATATAGTACATTTTGTTTTTCCATTCATCTGTGGATGGACACTTGGGTTGCCTCTATCTTTTTGGCTATAATGCTGCAGTAAACATAGGTGTACAAATATCTCTTGAAGGCTGCTTTCAATTCTTCTGGGTATATATCCAAAAGGGGAATTGCTGAATCATAAGGTAATTCTACTTTTAATTTTGGAGGGGAATGCCATGCAGTTTTTCATAGTAGTCTGCCATTTTAGAGTCCCACCAACAGTGTGCAAGCATTCCAATTTCTCCAAATCCTCTCAGCTCTTGTTATTTTTGTGTTACTGTTGTTGTTGTTGTTTTAATGGTAGCCATTGTAAGTGATATAAGGTGGTATTTCATTGTGGTTTTGATTTGTATTCCCTAAAGATTAGTGATGTTGAGAATCTTACAATGTGCTTGTTGGCCATCTGTGTATCTTCTTTGGAGAAACGTCTATTCAGGTCCTTTGCCCATTTTTTAATCAGGTGGCTTGTTTTTTGTTGTTATTGAGTTATAGGAGTTCTTTATATATTCTGGATATCAACATCTTGTCAGACACATGACTTGCAAATATTTTCTCCCATTCCATAGGTTGCCTTTTCACTCTGTTGATAGTATCCTTTGATTCACAGAAGTTCTTAATTTTGATGAAGTCCAGTTTATCTCTCTCTCTGTTTTTAATCTGTGCTTTCGGTGTCCCGTCCAAGAAACCATTGCCAAATCCATTGTCATGAAGCTTTTCTCCCATATTTTCCTCTAAGAGTTTTATAGGTTTTTGGTGGGGTTTTTTTTTTTTTTTGATGTTTATTTATTTTGAGAAAGAAAGGGCAGGGGAGGTGCAGAGGCAGAGGGAGAGAGAATCTCAAGCAGACCTCATACCCAGTGCAGAGTCCAACATGGGGTTTGATCCCACCAACCATGAGATCACAAGCTGAGCCAAAACCCAGAGTTGGACAATCAACCGACTGGGCCACCCAGGAGCCCCAAGAGTTATATAGTTTTAATTCTTACATTTAGGTGTTTGATCCATTTTGAGCTAATTTTCATATATGGCATAAGGTAAAGGTCCAACTTCATTCTTTCCCATGTGGATATCCAGTTCTCCCAACACCATTTGTTGAAAAGACTGTCCTTTTCCTATTTAATGGTCTTGGCTCCCTTATCAAAAACCATCTGGCCAGATATGCAAGGGTTTCCTTCTGGGCTATCTGTTCTGTTCCACTAGTCTGTAGGTCTGTCTTTATGCCTGTGTCACACTGTTTTGATTACTGTAGCTTTGTAATAAGTTTTGAAACCGGAAAGTGTGAGTCTTCCAACTTTTCTTTTTTAAGACTCTTTGGGAAAAAATTAAACTTTTTATTTTGAGGGAATTGTAGATTCACATGTACTTGTATGAAAACAAGAGAGACCCTCGATATCTTTTGCCCACTTTCCCCCAACAGTAACATCTTGCAAAACCCATAACACAATATCACAACCAGGATATTGACAGTGACAACAGTCAAGGGACAGAACAGCTCTATCACCACACTCCCTTCCCTCCTCCCTGCCACTCCCCCTTTCTGATCCCTGGCATCTACTAATCTGTTCTCCGTTTCTATAATTTTATCATTTCAAGGAGTCTATTTAAATGGAATCATCCAGGGGCGCCTGGGTGGCGCAGTCGGTTAAGCGTCTGAC